TGTGGCCTTATGATGGTTACGCGCGAAGTGAGCGAGTACTGGCGCGCTGCCTGTGCTGGTGGCTGTGCCTGAGGTGCCTTTGGGGCCTGACGTGCCGGTCCCTGACCGGGTGGGTTGGCCGCAGGCGTCGCCACCAGTGGTGGGATTGGTGTTTGCGCCAGCGTGTGTGTTGTTGGTGGCGTTGGCACGGGGTCTTGTGGTGCGGCTGGGCAACAGGCTGCAATGAAGCCAGTTTTAGGTGGCACCAGTTGTTGCATGCGTTGCACTTAACTGATGTTGTGTTGCGTCTCATCAGGTGGGTGCAGACGCTGGAGAACCATCTGTCCTGGGTGGATGTCCTATGTTGCGTGCTTGGGATTCTGAATATCGTCATCGTCGTCGACGATCGTCAGCGCAACAGTAACATGGCTGACGATGACCGTATCGCCACCTTTACTGACGATGACGATATTGAACATTCCCACGACAGCCGGTTCTACGTACTGGAATGACTCGGTTTTTACCCGACCAAGGGCTGTTGTTTCGGCGATCTAACCCCGTTTAGGTCGGCGAAGTATCTCAGAAGTTGTTCGTCCATAGGGCTACATTCGCTACGTATACTTCTGCTCAGGTCTGGCATCGAGTCAAACCCAGGGCCAGAAACCTACACCTGCTGTGTATGCCAGAGACGACTACACCACAACTCCACCTCAGTCAAGGCAATGCTTGCGAGGGGTGGAGTCACCTCAGAGTCTGCTCAGGATTACGGACACATCGGCAGTGGACCACGTCGGTTGTGGCCCCTGCTGCTGGAGCAGCCTCCACGGCTAACCCCAGTCGACCTAAGCAGCTCCACGCAAACACCACAGCACAACAACATAACAACGCAATAGACCACACCACAACCACGACATACCACAGAACATACACAACCGCACCACAACCAACAACTTTTGGTTCCTCCTACAATCTGCACGGTATGTCAGACCAGGATTTTCCGTAACGTGACATCAGTCAAGTGCAACACCTGCCTTGGCTGGTGCCACTTTAGAGCATGGTCAGGTCTGCGCACCACGCGAGATTGGACGAGGAACTTCGAGGGCCCGTGTTGCGCATCGACCGCAGGGATACCACCCTAGAATGTCAGGGCATTGCTATCCGGTCAGCCGATGTTGAGCTTTAATGTGTACATACCTCCTGTCACCTGCTGCCCTGCAGGATATATACAGGTGCGCTCCTCAGAGGTGAAAACCGTATGGTAATAGGTGGCTTTAATGCGCACCACGATCTTTGTCACTGAAGCCTGTCAAACGATCGTAGGGGATCTGACTTGGCTGAGCAGATAGACGATTCGACATTCTGCACAATGAACGACGACGCACCCACCAGGATTATGGGCAGTTGCTGCAGCTCGCCAGACATAACAATAGTCAGCGCTAGTCTGATAAACAGCATATCATGGCGACCTATGCTGACTTTGGCATCAGAGCATCTGCCTATAGTCATCTCGATAGATAAACCAACCGACTTTGCTTCCGCGGAACATCGGACCTATATCAACTTTTCTAAAGCTGATTGGAAAGGCTTAGCGGGATTTACTGAAAACATCTTCGCTGCGCTCCCCACACCAACCGACGTCTACCTTGGTGAACGTAAGTTCCGCAGGGCTATCACCGCTGCTGCAGCTCGCTTCGTACCGGCAGGATGCATAACGGCCTTCGTCAGTTCGATCCCGTAGATCCCCGTATCAGGGATCTTAGCGCGGAGATTCGGCACCTGGTGAACGTACATAAGCGGAAGAAGTGGGAAGAGCATCTGGAGATCTGTAACTTCACCTCTTGTGTGAGTAAGCTTTGGTCAACCGTGAGGTCACTGTCCAATCCGACGAAGCATGACGACGGGGTCGAAATTTCGAAATTCGGCGACCATGCTACGTCGAACCCGGAGCGATGCGCGAGCTATTTTAGCCGGCAGTTCATACTGCATTCTTCGGTGGACAAAGCCAAGTGTCGCACAGTACAACAACAGCACTTAACGCCATAAACACTCAGATAAATCGTGGCCTCAACCGTAACCGTCCCTGTGAGAGAACTATTCTAGTAGCGTTGGACTTGTCAAAGGCGTTTGCCACTGTCAGCCATTCACCGCTACTAGAAGATATAGAGGCTTCCTCTCTCCCACAGAGGCTCAAACGGTGGTCGGCAAATTATCTGAGTGGTCGACACTCGTCGGTAATGTTTAGAGACAAATCGAGCTAATTCAGGAAAATAAAACAGGGAGTTCCATAGGGTGGTGTCCTTTCCCCGCTACTGTTCAACTTTTATATTTCAAAGCTCCCTCAACTACCAGAAAGAGTCTCGATTGTCTCTTACGCCAACGATTGCTCGATCATGGTGACTGGGAATGGAATTGATGACTTGTGTTCGAAAGTAAACGGGTATCTCTCCGAGATTTCTCGCTTCTACACTGCAAAGTATATAGCCCTCTCCCCTACGAAATCCTCTGCGACCTTGTTCACCACCTGGCCAAAGGAGGTCAGGCTACCGCTGGGAATTCACGTCGATGATACATCAATTCCGACGGTGAATATCCCCAAAATACTCGGAGTAACATTCGACAGTCTGCTCTCCTTCTCTGCGCACGCATCCGCTATTGTCAATAGAGTACAGTGCCGCAACAAGGTCCTCAAGTCGCTAGCCGGCAGTACTTGGGGCAAAGACAAAGAAACGTTGCTGGCAACATACAAGGCAATAGGACGGCCGGTTTTTAACAACGCAGCACCAGTGTGGTCGCCGGGGACTAGTAGGACGCACTGGATGAAGCTACAGACGACTCAAAACACCGCACTTAGGACAGCGACTGGATGCCTCCTGATGTAGCCAGAACACCACCTGCATGACGAGGCGAAAATGGACCCAATCAAGGAGCAATACATAATGCTCTGCAAGCAGTTTCTGGCTGGGAGCCACAGATGTGGCCACCCAAACAGACAGCTTCTTGCCCTCGCCTAGGCACGTCAGGAGGCATCTCTACGAACTGAAGGACGAAGTCCAGATGTTCATTAAGCAGCATCTGGACCCGTCAGCATACCGACAGACCCTGAACGGCATTCAGAGGGAGTCAGTCTCGAGTTGTGTAGACTCCAGACCTATGAATGCCGTTCTAGGCACACAACCACCGGACATTGACGAGACGGAGCTTCATCTGCCTCGGAAGACAAGAACCACAACAGCCCAACTTCGCTCTGGCTACTGCAGCAGGTTAAACTCATACCTGAGCATACTAAGCGCGGATGTACCAAATGAGTGTCCGGCATGCGGGGAGACCCCTCACGACTCGAAACATCTCTTCGCATGCCAGGAAAACCCGACAACCCTGACGGCTATGTCCCTGTGGGCCGACCTTATGGAGGCTGCACTCTTCTTAGGGCTGCCGTTAGTGGAACTTGACGACAACGACTGAAATATTAACCGATCTGGGCGGGGTTGTTGTAGCCGCTACAACAACAACATGACGATATTCAACATAGGGCGGAATATATTGGCGCTTGCCCTTTTGTAAATGTTTGGCTGAGCTTCTCCTCCGATTTGTGGCGTGCGCCTTGATGTTACACAAAAGAGAGTAACCTACGGTTTTACGCCGACTCCGAACGGCGATTGTATTTTTATAAGAAGCTGTTTCTCATGGCAGAAGTACACTCGGAGGTTTGCCATCGCCTGCCGACGGACGACCGCTGTTCGGAAAAATCCTTTTTTCTATATTTTTTTTGCGATGTTTCCTTGACGAGGACTTGAACCCAGGCCCTGCGGAGTGGTAGCGCGCACTGCTAACCACAGCGGTAGTTCCCACGCCAGTCGGGTCTACGTAACCGGAACGACTCAGATTTATATTTGGCCAAGGACAGTCACTCCAGCAACACTCCCCAAAAACTTTTTGTGGAACTTGTTTGCTGCTACAACAACAACAATAATTAATTATAATCCATTATGGGGTTAATATTCTTTACAGCACATTATTACTGTTGGAAACAGAATTATATTTATGGGTCGATTAGACTGCTTTTACACAGTTCAAGTATTGAAATCAATTCTGCTCGCATATGGAAAAGAGGGAATGAGAAGAAAAGAGAGGAGTACACATGCGTCTGTACCGTCAAGACGTCTATATTTTCTTGCTTTTGCCATTTTCGTTGTTTCCCATGTAAAGAACCAAAAACTTGAATTAAACAGAATCGAAGCGTGTAAAAGCAAATAGAAAACACATTCCCACGGTACCGGCTCTACGTACCGGAATGACTTGGGTTTTACCCGAATAAGGGCTATTGTTTCGACGATCTAATCCCGTTTAGGTCGGCGAAATCTCAAAAGTTGTACGTCCGTAGGGCTACATCTACTTCTCATACTTCTCAGGGCTGGCATTAAGCCAAAACTTGGACCAGCAACTTCTACCTGCGGCGTGTGCCAGAGACGACTACACCACAACTCCACCTCCGTTAGATGCAATACATGTAATGGGTGGAGCCACCGAGTTTGCTCAGGGCTTACGATTCACAGGCAGTGGACCACCGCAATACGCGGCCTCTTGCTGCTCAAATCGAGCTGTCTCCACGGTTAAACAGAATCCGCCTGAGCAACTCAACACAAACACAACCGCACCGCAATATGACATAACAGACTACACCACCGATACAACCGCACCACCACCCACACGCCGCCGCCTACAACTCTTAGTCCCTCGGACGGTGTGTCACTCCAGGATATTCCGTAATGTGACATCAGTAAAGTGCAACACCATGGCTGGTGCCACTTTAGGGCATGCTTATACAGCGTGATTTTTTAAGAGCTTGATACCTTTTTTTTTAAAAAAAACGCATA